TTGCTTGGGGCTGGAACAGCCCTAACCAATCAAGCCACCTTATCTCCCTCCGATCTCTGAAAGAACCGGAGGATTTACAAGTGCCTCAACCAAGGAAGTAGTAGGGAGAGGTTTGGCTGCAGGGGGTGGGGGGAGGGAGGGGTGGGGGGAGATACAAAAGCCGGACATTTTGGAGTTTTTTAGTCTTGCCTGCGGGACGGAGGACATGCTCCTGAAAAAGAGGACATGTCCTCCTTTTGCCGGACGTCTGGCAACCCTAGCTAGGGCTCCCAGTGAAGGCATAATGCTTATCGGTATCTAATATGTGGATGGCCCCTGTGGAAATCTTAATGTTGGATGAGATACTGGTGACATAAGGTCACCTGCCAACTGAGTTAAGAAGAGTCGTGTCACTGCTGATCCTTCCCACCATATTTATGGCAGTAAGGACATTGACAACCATGGTGGTAGTAGCAACACCTTCTTTCTCCTAGCTATGTCCCTGCTTCCATAGCATGACTACCCCTGTCTAGCTATGTGAATAATGTCTTGTATCAGAGTCTCTTTAAAGTTGACAATGAAGAAATAAGTTAGAGGTTTTGTACACCTTGGGTCAGTCATTTATTCAAATAGGGACTGCAGCCAAGAAATCGGAAGAAGATTGGGATTAGGAATGGCAGCTCAGTCGTTTATTCAAATAGGGACTGCAGCCAAGAAATCAGACTAATATTGGGATTAGGAAGGGCAGGAATGAAGGAGCTAGAAAAGAGTATCAACTGAAAGGATCAACGTTCACTTTAAATTTCAGCCCTGCTGTGCAGGGCTCTGCCCTCACCTCTTCAGGGTTCTGTCCCAACTGGAACCAAAGGGGCAGGAAATGATAGCTGTTTGATTCAAATAGGGACTGCAGCCAAGAAATCAGACTAATATTGGGATTAGGAAGGGCAGGAATGAAGGAGCTAGAAAAGAGTATCAACTGAAAGGATCAACGTTCACTTTAAATTTCAGCCCTGCTGTGCAGGGCTCTGCCCTCACCTCTTCAGGGTTCTGTCCCAACTGGAACCAAAGGGGCAGGAAATGATAGCTGTTTGTAAGTGGTGGAGGAGGAACAGTGTGTGGAGTGGGCAGAGCTGGGCACTTGCAGCTGTGCACCTTAAAGGGAACTTTGGCATGGATGTGTCATTGGAGACTACGGTCATCCATACTCTTGCATGTCTAGTCACCATGTATGGGTGTGAAAGCTGGACAGTTAAGAAAGCGGGAAGTTAAAAATGATTTGTTTGAAATGTGGTGGTGGACGATAGCTTTGCAGATACCCCAGATTGCAAAAAAGACAAACAAATGGGCCCTAGATCAGTTCAAGCCTGAACTCTCTCTGGAGGCAAAAATGTTGAAACTAAGGCTGTCCTACTTTGGGCACATAATGAGAAGACAGGATTCCCTGAAAAAGAAAAGACAATAATGCTAGGAAAGATGGAAGGCAACAGGAAAAGAGGAAAACCAAATAAGGGGTGGACTTGCTCCCTGAAAGAGGCCATGGGCTCCAGTCTGCAAGAACTGAGCAATCTTAATGTTGAGGATGGGACATTTTGGAGATCGCTCATTCATAGGGGCTTAGTAAGTCAGAGGCCACTTGAAATCAAAGTCTCTAAGAGGTGGCTACACTCTGGAGGCAAGGAGGTGGTGGCAACTAGAAGAGGCATCAGCAGCAACTGGCCAGGTTGTGTGGCAGAGAAGGGGCTGTGAGAGCTTTGTAGCCGCCTCCAGCACTCCTCTACCTGCAGTGACTTTCCTCACCCTGGCCAGTGGCTGATCTGGTTGTGCAGCTATATAGGCCCTTGATCGGGCTCATCAAGCCTTTTCAAACACTTAAAAGAAGAAGAAACTAGCAAAAAATTGGTCAGGGATGAGAATCAACATGAAAGGTGGGCAAACACTCTTGTCTTTATTGTACTCTTTGAGAGGAAGTGGATAATGTGCGAAAGGTTTTAAAGTCTAGGAGTGCTTAAGAAACAAATAAAAACAAACCAAATTCCCAAAGCCCATGTGGTAATACCTGTGAAGAGCTTTGGGTGTGCGGGCACCTGTCAGATGGCAAGCCACCTTTGAAACTGAGGAGATGTTAAGAACAGTTGATGGCTTTCAGAAGTCTCTTATTTAAAGAAGAGAAGACAAATTAAAGCGTGCCCCTGAGTGTGCTCAAATCCTTCAGCAGGCCTAAAGGGGCTCTTTGGATCGCAGCCATAACAAAAACGTTGAAGGAAACGCTGACATTGTCTCTGGCAACTATTTGTTCCTAAGTAGGATGAACTTGTAGATGAAAGTGCTTTAGGGAAGAATGATGCCAGGATATTACTGATTGTTCTATTGATTTTCTTAATACACACATATAAAGGTATAGATTATATATTTCACTCTTTTTTTTTCCAGCGGCGGCTGCTGACAGTTCACTCAGGTTGTTGTCTGATGTAGCCCAAGCAGTGAAAGGCCGAGCTACTGTATCATGGATAGACTGCGGGTATGTAATGTGCCTCCCTCCCTTCTCTTGCCTGCTGAATATAATTTCTCAGCAGATACATTTCGCTCCTGTTGTTTGGTGTGTGTAATAGAGAGAAAGCACTATGCTTTGATAGTCTCCAGAATCATTTTTGAAGGAATGGTGGCTGCTGATGCCTCTTCTAGTTCTGCTTTTCAGTAATGCATGTGTTAGCACTTGTTGTATTGTAGTGACAGGAGTAATGTTAAAATGTCCCACTACCGTTTCTAGCAACAGCACCTAGTGTTGCTTTCCACTGTGGAAATTTTTCACCTCAAATCCTTAATAAAACAAAAGATAATTTGTTGCAATCAACAGGCCAGGAAAAAACATGAATAAACATACGTGTTTACAAGAACTGTATGACACAGATATAGGCCCTTTAATACTGATACCCCACCCCAGGAATCTGCTAGCAATGCCAACTTTTTTTGCTTAATTGTTGTCGCTGTGAGGAAGTTTAGCAACAGCTAACCATACTGCTGGATTTTTGTCTGATAGCAAAAGTGACCAAAATGTTAATCCTTATGCAGGTGTAATGCAAACTGTTGTAATCATTGGAATCGAATTACCTCCAGTAGGAAATCAGCTCAGATATTATCTTTTTTGTGCTGGGTTGTGCACTTTAGTACACAACAAATGATGTCTACACTAAATACTTGACTTGAATTCTTCTCCAAAAGCTGCACTGTTTACATTACACAGCCATAAAATCGTAACGTGATTTTGGCCACTGTGACTATAAATGGATAGATGAACCAGGCAGAGCAGACAGTAGAATTAAAAATTATTTTCTAGTGAATGTCAGTAAAAAGCGTGCTGCTTATGAACATTGCAAAACAAAAGAATGTGTAGCACCGGTTCCTTATCTTAGTTGTTGCATATCTTAATAATTTTAGATGGAGAAATACCAGCTTATTTACTGCTAAATAAATGAGAAGACAAGCACATTAAATGCATATAAAATAAAGGCTCAGCCAGTGTTCAGGGATATGCACATTTTTTAAAATGAACTTTTGACTGAAGGGGGGGTTTCATAAGGGATTCCCAGAGAAAGAGAGGAGCAGGCAGTTCTTGAAATGAAATATATCAAAGTCTTTGTTTCATCACAAAAATTGAACAATCAGATTCTAATAAAGATATGTAGCAGGGACATAGAACAGTGGAAGACGCTCTTCAAGACCCTGTACCTGGAGATAAATCAGGCTTGGCCATTTGGTTGATGAGCTTCTCATTTTCTAGCTCTGGGTGGGTTGGGGAGAAGAGTGTGTGAAAGAACTACAGGGATTAACAAGCCATGAAATGAATGAGAAATCTCCCTCATCCTGGAATACTCATATAACCTGTTTTTCATGAGGTAGAATAATTCCGATAAATGAGATTTTGCACTGAGGTAAACATGGGTCTTCTAGTTTGGTTGCTGATTTATTCCTCTGTTGGAGGAGAGTTGTATTGGCAATGGTTTGAATGTACATTTTTAACCTTTTGCTAACATCTTCCAGGATACAGATAGGGCAGAAATGTCTGAATGGGTATATATTTAACTGCTAGCTACCTGCACATTTAACATATATGGAGTTAGTCAATGGTGAGGCACTAATCAGTTTGTGATTTCTTTACTTTAGATGTGGACCATAACCTAAGTTTCTGATCTTTATTATTCAACAAGATGGATTGATTTTGGATTTCATAGTCTCATTTCTAATTTTCTTTCCAAAAGACTGTCGTTTAAAAATCAACTCTTCATTATATGCTTGGAATTTATTTAGGAATCTTCCCTGGCTGGTACTTGAAGATACTATGTCTGGCATCTTTAATTGAACTATTGCAAGATATTTTGCAAATATTGCCTTAAAGAACGTTCTTGTGTACCTCATGTATCAATTGTAAAAGGGGGGGAATCAAGTGACTTGGTCTAGGATTGGTTGATATACAGACAGGTTTGAGTATAGATCTGCTGACCTTGACATTTTGGATTGATAGCAAATTGCAAATACAACATTACACTTTGAAAATAAGGTATGCAGTCTTTAATAGTTCTCATATTTTACTTCTAAAATTTCTGTACAGCTACTTCATAAAAAAATGAAAAAGGATTTCAGTGTACGTAAAACTTCAGTCAACAATGTAATGTTAAAATCGCAATATGAAAAATAGCTGTCATAAACACAATACTGATAAAATATGCAAATGTCAGGCTCCTTTGGGAGGGCATTCGATAGGCAGCGCACTATGGGAGAAAGGTCCTCTCCTTCATAAATGCATAATTTGTTTGTTTGCTTATTAATAATGTGCCTTTCCTAACAGTGGTTTCAGGAACTAGCACCATCTGACAGTTTTTAATGCACAGGCTGATTAGCATTGAGAGGAGATACTTGTGCAGACATTGAGGTCATTAAAAGCTGAGATCAACTAGCAGCTTGAGTTGTCCTCAAAAAACCAATAGACAGCCATTGTACCCACTTCAGAATTGGTGTAACATTGTTCCACCTATGCAAATCAGTTTGAATGCTTGCAGCTGAATTTTTTTTACCAATTGAAGCTTATTAACAGTTTTCAAAGGCATAAAATTCCATGGACTAATTAATCTTGGAATTTACCAGAAGATGGATCAGTATAACAACATTGTTACTAGGAATGCAGATGGCAAAAAACTTCCATTTTACTTCCATTTTGTTTCAGGGAGTGCCTTTATCTTTTTCATTTCTTTGACATTCTGGTCCTTTTGTTTGACATGAAAGGGTCATTTCACTTCTTACCCCCACAGCACCTATCTGTGCAGTATTTCAGGTGCTTGTTCATTTGATGGTGATGGCTCGCTATATGGCACACCCTTCTCCTCACTGCAGTGCCACTTTCCCAATGTTTGTTGGTAGCCAAGTGGAGAAGGGAGGAGGAAAGGGTCAACTCCACAGTGGAGCTAGTTAATGGTGGGTACTGTCTTATTATGGTGGAGACATCAGTGCCAGATACTGAGAAGGGGCTGAGAGGAAAGTGGCTGTCACAGGGATGGCTGGTGCACATGAGATGGAGCAGGAACCAAATTGTTTCTGAGGCACATTAGATGTCATCCACTAAATCATTTCTGTGGAAAAATTCAATTTCAGGGTCAAAAAAAGAGAGAGGGAAAACAAAGCTACATTTTCATGTGTCCCTCTTTCATTTGACTTAATCTTTCCTTTTTCAGAAGCTCTTTATTGAACAATAAAATGCAATAGCAAAACTAATGGTCTCTCTTGTGTGTTTTCCCCATTTGTTCCAACATGAAAATCCCATTCCTAATTATCACCGTACCTGCTATAGGAGGTAGGCTAGTGCTGCTTTGTTTGTTTGTTTGTTTGTTTTAACTGCTGAAACTGGTGGAAAGTATTCAAGCTGCTGACCTCATCTGGGTCTCAAGTGTCAGTGTTGATTCAGGCATGGTCCTCAAGCTGTTCACCAGCTCCTTAAGGGGACCTATAATGGGTACTCAACAAATGAGAAGGCAAGCATTTCAAAATGATCTGTTCAATCCAGAACATGTCCTGCTCTAAATTCCTAGACTTGGGCCTCTACCTCATGGTGCCTCTATCTTGTCAGTTTGTTGTCAGTCATCCAGCCCAGTCCAAAGTCTGGTTCAAAAACCCAAAATTACATTTGAATCAGATTATATCAAGAAACATCTTTAAATCCTTGAATGATCTCATAGAATGAAAATTTAAAAACAGATAGCTCCTTCCTCTCTTCAAAGATTTGAAAGATATGGATTGCTTTATGTGAAATAACTGCTCAAATGAAAGATGAGCTAAGCCACCTTATGATAAAGTTACTTGCCAAATTGCCTTCCTTAAAGGCTCACTTGTCTGGTGTCCCATAAACCCACAGTATCCCTAACAACTCCATCAACGGTTCCTGTCTTTTCTTTCATTTTGGCCTGTTGATTTTAGATTACATGTTTTCTTATCATTCTATTCTGTGTAATATCTGACGGGATTGTGCCGCTACATAGACATTACTGTATACCTCTGAGCAAAATTACTGATCAAAATCCTGTTGCATAGTTACTCTGGTGGAAGAGAAATGATGTAACTTGCAGCAGCAAATTGCTGCTAATTAATGAGTCCCTGCTTGGATCCTGATTGGGCTCAAAGCTATTTGGCTGGTGTGCAGTGAGGAATCCCAGCAAGGATTTGTTGAATTAGCAGCCATTTGACACTGTGAGTTAGACCTTTGTTTTCTGTCAGCATAACTGTGCCACAATATTTTAGGCAGTGTTGCATTCTCAGATGGAGGTAGGGCTTATGGATAGATCTCAAAAAGTATAGCTGCTCTCTCAAGGCATAGGTGCATATTTCTATATGTCTTAAATGGCTAAATCTGCCGAAGGGCTGAAAATATTAAAACAACAACAACAACAAAACAGTATTTGAATAGTAGTTGAGGGATTTATGCAGTATATCAGAAAAATGATATGGGCTTGAATTTTTTTTTGTTTTGGAAGTTTTGCATTTGTGTTTGCATTTCGTAGATTATTTTTCCGACGGAAATCTTCACGTTTACATTTACAGTTGATTTAAATGGTTTTCCAGCATTTATTTCTTCATTTTGCTCCTTCCTGCTTATCCATTTCAGCTGCAAAGTACAGAAGGGTGTGTTTTTTTCCTTTTCCTTTTTTTTTTCCTCCAGGAGTTCTGAAAATGGAGGCTCTATCCTGTAACTCCATGGTAGATTTCAAGGGAAATTACACAGATATAAAAGGGTATTTACTGTGCCGGCTCAATTTGTTTCACAAATATTGATAAGAAGTAGGAAATTTGGCAGGAATGTTCTTTTTCTGTGGCAGAGATCTGGTTTTTTGGCCGTACTTTGAATATCACAGAAGATACTGCATATAATAAGCTTTCTAAAAGAGAGGAGGGAAAGCCCCTTGGAGTGTGTGTGTGTTGGCAGGCATGCTGTTCTGCGGTTGCTGCCTTCTGCTCTGCCTGCAAGCGATCACAGTT